GGGGTGGGGAGGGGCTGGTCACCCCGTGGTGCCCTTATAAAACTCAACGTTTAACCTACTCACGCCGGCTTGTGCCCGCCCTCACAGTCGGCCATATTTGCGAAATACACCACGCCGCCGTTGACCCTGCAGGCCATTGACCGAGCAACCCGACGTTCCTACCAGCTCCCTCCGCAGGACAATGTGTTTAATTAGCTCAAGTAAAGCTGACCGCCGACGAGAAAGGATTTACCGTCGATTTAACTTGTGGTTGAATCGCCGATACGCCCGCACAAGTTGCACCGGCGTGGCTGGTTCGGGGCGCTGTGTACGCGTGAGACGCGTGCTGACGATGTGAAGGGGTCAGGCCGTGGGAAGGAGAGGCCGTGTGTGGTGTCTGCTGCGTGATAATGGTTGGTACGTTCTCCAGAGCAACGCTCACGACGATTGTGTTGCGTTTCAAGGAACCTTACTCTTAGTTCTTTCGGTAAAGGCACGTAGGTAAAAAATGAAATTAAAATTAATTTTAAAAAATCACGACGTTTCGGAGGCAACACAAGCTTCCGTCTTCAGGTGAAACTGTCACAGCAAAAAATCTGTATCAGTTTCACCTGAAGACGGAAGCTTGTGTTGCCTCCGAAACGTCGTGATTTTTATTTTATTATTTTTTTTATTAATTATAATTTCATTTTTTACCTACATGGTGACTTTACCGAAAGAACTAAGAGTATGAATCCTTGCAGTCACGAAAGCTTCAAATTTACAAGTTTCAAGGAACCACATTTTACAAACTGCAGACTCTTTTCACGTATTGGCCGAGACATTGTCTTCAACGTTGAATTACAAATGACCACACATTGTGTAATTTTTGTGAAATAAGCATCCCAGACTGGATTCCGTCCTGTCTTTCAAACAAGGTGTGGCATGGAGAATCTTGTCTGTGATGGCTGCACACTGGTATGGTTTGCGCGGTATGGCGTGTCCAATGCAGCATTTATTTCAAGTCCCACACGGCGTGATTCGCGTGGCGATGTGAATGTTCAAGCAGTAATTGTGCGGCAATACCCAACACTTTTTTCAAAGTAATTCATGCCACGAAATGCAGAAATGACTTTTTATCAGATTCCAGCAAAACGCAAATGGCTCACTGTATTGGTGTGTTATTCAAATAGCTATGTGCCAAAAAGATGTGGCACTACTTAAGCATATTGGCACAAGATAGAGGAAAGTGGAAACAAATTACGAAATGCTCAGTGGAGGACACCTACGGGCTATCTGCTCACGGATTGTGATGATGATGAAGTACCTGCCAATATTGCTTTGGGCCTGATGATTTTCATGCTTAAATACATTTTGTTTTTCCAACCAGCCCAGTGCCCATCTGCATCTCGCGGTGAAGATGAGGAGCCATGGGAGACATCATCATCATCATCATAATAATGTCGGAGCCTGTGACGCTGAACGTGGGCGGACACCTTTACAGCACGTCGCGCGCCACGCTCAGGCGCTACTCGGATTCCATGCTGGGCGCCATGTTCAGCGGGGACCTGCCAACGGCGAGAGACGCGCAGGGACACTACTTCATCGACCGCGACGGGCCGCTCTTCCGCTACGTGCTCAACTTCCTGCGCACTTCAGAACTCACCCTCCCGCAGGACTTCAAGGAGATTGATCTCCTACGAAAGGAGGCTGACTTTTATCAAATAGAGCCGCTCATCCAATGCCTCAATGAGCCAAAGCCCCTCTACGCGTTGGATACTTACGAGGAGACAGTGGAGCTGGCAAGCACTCGCAAGCTAAGCAAGTACTCGAACCCAGTGACGGTGATCATTACACAGCTCACCATCACAACCAAGGTGTTTGCACTGCTCCAGAGTATCGCTGGAAACTTCACGCGCTGGAACAAGCACATGATGAATACGCGCGACACGCAAATGTCTTTCACGTTTGGGCCGTGTGATTATACGCAAGAAGTGTCGCTGCGCGTGCACCTGTGGGAGTACATTGCACGCCAGGGGTTTTCTCTGAGATGCTCCCGCGTGCACCACGTGAGTGAGCGCGCCAATGAGAACACAGTCGAGCACAACTGGAGCTTTTGCCGCCTGGAGCGGAAGAGCGACGATTGATCGTCGCGTTGCATGTCGTGGCCTGGTGCATTTTCCACCACCTTGTCCCCTTTGCACCTCCCGTGAGTTTAGATGTCGGGACTCGAGCCAGTGAGTGTATGCCGGGAAATTATAAACGTTACACGTCGCCCATCGCTCCTACTTTTTTTTTGACCAAAACACCTTCCCGTGGGCACAATGTCGTGTCCTTGAGCAGTGGACATGGACGCCGGGTTTTCATGGCAGGCCCCGATGGGCTGATATAGCTAGACCCTCTTGTGACCGCTAACAACTCGTACCCCAGCGGTGTATGACTATTGGGGGATCTTTATTTCGTGACATCCAGTTGTAGCCTCGTAGCCCACGATTTTCAGCGAGCGCATAATCAGACTGGCATAGGGCAGGAAGAGCTGGTACAAGAGGATTCGAAGTGGTGTGTTTCGTGTATTTGGGATGAGAGGTTATATAAGGTGCTTTGGGATGCTGGGGTTAGATATTAATCGGCAACACGCCCAGCCACCCTGTGCCTTCCCAGTGGTGATGTTTACACGCTACACCAGGGGCTCTTATTAGGCCGAGTCAACCTCCGGAAGGCCCACAACAGAATCGGGATCGAACCCATGCTGCCAGAATCATAATGGTTTCCTCCGGTATCAAGAAATATTCACGTTATGTTAATGCAGTACACAACTGCACCACCACGCCATACACTGCTGTAGTATGTGTATGTTTGATGAGTGAGATTCTCTTATCCAGCCAGTGAAGAATATCTGAAGCAGCCCTGGTCCTCTCCGAAGGTCGACTCAACCTTAAATGAGAACTTGGGATCGTGTGTAAACATCACCATTGAGACTAAGGTGGTGCTGGCAGCCCAGCCTCCCTTGGTGCTGCTAACAGCATTTGCCGCAGCAGCCTGTGGAGGAGGCCGTCTGTAAATGACGTCACGCACCTGGGGGGGGGGGGGGGTCAGACATTTGTGACGATGTGTGACGGGGGGGTGAGAAATGTGACGTCACATCAAAATGCGCAACTTTAAATAAATATAGACGACACGTTCTACTACATCACGGTAAATAGACTTTTAATAAATGTTTTCTCCTACAACATCAGAGTGCAGTGCCAAATTAAATAGGCACCACAATGACAAGAGTTTAAAGCGATTTGAAGCAGGTTTTTCTTTTTTTGACGCCGTGTGACGAGGGGAGGGGGGGTCAAAAATCGGCCAAAATCGCGTGACGTCATTTATGGACGGCCCCGAGGTTCTACAGGGGATATTTTGTATACTGAGCGGTGGCGTAGTGGTTAGTGCATCGCGCTATCAACCCAGCAACATGGGTTCGATTCCAATCCACGGTTAATATCCGTGCTGATTATCTTAACAGCTGATGGTCTCGGTACCTGGTGTAGTGTGTAAAGGTGAGCACGAGGGAGACAAAGGCGGCCAGGCATGGTACTGGCCACACCCTCCCCTCGTTTGCCATGTTGTCCTTCATCGGTTCCTTATTTGAATTTAGTGGCCGCCCTTATTAATTCTGAACTTGTATTGCATATCACTGCGTGATCAGGAAACGCAGGCAAACATCTTATTTTCATAATTGCTGTTTTTCAATAAAAAATAAACTTGGACAATACTTCGATTTAAAGCTTTCGTGACTGCAGGGATTCATCTTCTTGGTTCTTTCGGTAAAGTCACGAAGGGAAATAAAAAAGTAATTTGTATTAATTTTTAATAATTATTATAATTATTAATAAATAATAAATAATATTAATTCTTATCTTTTATTTTTATTATTTTATTATTTCCCTTCTACGTGACTTTACCGAAAGAACCAAGAATATTAATAATTGAGTTGAGTCTTTAAATAGACATTATGATATCAAATCGAACATTCTCCGTTTATTACACGCTTTTATTTCACTCGCTCTGTCTGTTGTCGTTCTACAGTATCCTCAAATCTTGTAACTCAATTTTAACCCACTTCCCAATGTGGTATCGACTACACACTTGGTATACTTATGTCATACTGATGACAATACTATATTCTATCATAAAAAATACATACTGTATTTTAAAACATTATTTTTTATATGTTATGTTTCGTCTTGGCTCTAATTGTCCACGCTCAACTGACGTTGACCCTTTAGTTATGGCAAGCTTCAGAGCCACTTCCTGGAGCCGTGGAGTTCTGCCATTACTAGTACCGTACATTTCATTAAAGCGTGTTTAAAAAAAAGCTTTTAAAAATATTACTTATTTCAGAAGGAAATTATTGATTTGATTTCAAACGGTGCTCTGAGAACACTTTTGAGAGCCTGTTAGGGTTGGGTTGGGACCTGTGTGTGTGCAGTATGGGGGAGGATCATCGTAAAGAGATCCCAAATAAGTCGACAAATATCCACCTCCTACCATTTACAGTGCCTTATTCCTGTAACGAGACACCTCTAATGAGCGAGACAACTGCATAAATAAACACTACAGGTGCATACCTGTCAACCCCTTATCAGTGGCTATCTTATTACACACCAATTCAGACCTTACTGGTCATCCCGTGCCCTTATACATCTCAACGTTCATCCTACAAAGTTCCATCACAAGAGAGAAACCACGAACAAATGGACTACTTGTTTGCCCGTATTGAAACGTCTGTACACCGTCTGGACCTGAGAACTCAATTTCCCTGCACAAGAATACGGGTGAACCTCATGGGTTGACGGGGATGTGTTACAATGCCCCACCCTGCTGCTCTCTACAAAACAGATGAATAATTGTCTGTACATATGTAGAGAAGTTCCGACGGACGTACTCGTAGACGGAGGTAAGTTAAGGGCTTCGCCAGGGTTTATTAAAGCTGTTACAATACACACGCAGCAGGGTGCACAACTCCCAGGGGCGAGGGGTCCTACTCTAAGTGCGGGTCCCTGCCGGCTGCTCCGGTCTCTCTCTCTCTCGTGTCGGATCGGGGACTCTGCCGACTCCACCGACTGGATAGAGAAGCACCTCTACGGCTACTACCACCGGCTTCTCTCCAGGCTCACCATTCGATCCCTCTCTCTACCCCTGGTTCCCTCTTCACCCTGCTTACTCTACCCGTTCCCACAGTGACCCCGCTTACGTCACGGGGTATCCCTTAAGTACCCCGGGAGACGTGACGTCATCGCACTGAACGGCACACCATGACGTCACGTCCCCATTTTACTCCTCTACACATATACATTACTGCAGGGTGCTTCAAACAAATGTGAACACCTCGGAGAATTTGCAACAATACCACAAGAAATGTGCCTCCGGGCTTTGGAGACCACCTGGAGAAGATTCCAGGCACGTGTTGACAATGATGGCGAACAATTGGAGACTCTTTGACGTTTTGAAGCTATTAACATTACATTTGTTATCATGTAACAGTGTATTATTTTCCGTTCTTTTTCCATTAAAAGCGATAGTATTATATACATGTAAACATTTATTTGAAGCACCCTGCATATTAATTAAACATGAATTCCTCTTTGCTTTTTTTGGATAAAGTCACGTAGGTAAAACAATCAGTAAAATAAAATAAATGACAAAGAGTATGAACCCTTGCAGTCACGAAAGCTTCAAATCAAGATGAATTTAATATTAATTGACATTTAATTTTTTATATCCGTTGAAATGGAACATCTCGCTTCCGAGTGTATCCAGGGTTTCAACATATTCATAGCAAGTATGTAATTCCTCGTAACATAATTTTTTAAATCTATATCGCATACAGTTTGAATCGAGACATTGAATATATATCATACCCAGTGGAACACATAAATGAACAAGTGAATAACTAAATTGTGTACACTGCCGGTTCACGTAGAATGTACTTGAGCTAAACAGGCAGCGTGCATCGTGAACGACTCCACGCCATGCTCAACGTAACCTGTGTCCTGCCCATGATTCTAGAATTTCTCCGAGGCATCGTATTCCTGATTCTAAGGTAGGAATCGTGAGACTCCTCGCTCAGCTGTGGCTTTCATTCATTTGGATGATGATCGTTATAAGTAATGAGGCAGCTGATTGGCACAGTTGGCCTTATGCATGTGCTATGTCACAAAATGTGACAGGGCTTCTAAGTGGGGCATGTGGAATGCACGTGCCATGCACTATCGCGTTGCTTGACCTGAAATCATAGCCGGGGTCCTGTTTGTGTGTTACGAGTGTGCTTGAGCGCGGGTGTTCGGCTACTCTAATGGTGGCACTGGCTCTAAAGCACGCGGTGCACGTGGTGACGCTGACAAGGGAATGCCGCGAAGTCAATTCGTCGTGAGATTTTCTGCATAACGGCGATCTGCTTGACTTGGATGGTTCGCGCTGCCCCGCGCTTTTTCAGCCCGCTCGGCGAACGCCAGGGAGGCCACGACATGCCGGTCCGTCCTCAACCCATCCGTCAGCCACCTGAGCCGCATGCTGACCGACACGCACGGTGCAGCTTGCACATCTGAAGAGTGCTGGGAGTGAGCTGCAGCTATGGAGACGATTTGAGGTGACAGCGCTGACCATCACTTTCAGTTGATGTTCGTACAACGATGACTGCGTACTGGGAGTCTCTTTATTGTTGATACACAACAACCACCCCAGGCCCGGCTTGCTCCTGCTCTTGAAGCTCTTCCCTTCCCTAGAACGTCCCCTCTCCCCATGCTCTCCCCTTTTGTCCTTCTCGAGCCCTCCTTCTCGAACTTTCTCTCACTTTTTTTTTACCCCAGCCAATTCCCGTCCTTCTTCCTAAACGGTTCTTACCAGAGGTCGCAACCGGATACCCGTACCCTACCCGATACCTGGCTACCCGTACCCGGCCGGGTACGGGTACCCATTTGCGACCCTGGTGCGGCCAGGTACGGGTACGGGTACGGGTAAGGAATCATAACCCGTTTGCGACCTCTGGTACGGGTACGGGTAGGCCGTGAGTCACTGGTGAGTCACCGTTTGTCACTCATTTCCCAACGTCTTGTCTCTTCTCACAATTCAAGTTCCTAGAATCAACCCACCCGCGCCTGCAACATGGCTTCATCCCAGAGGTCGCAATCAGGTACCCGATACCCGTACCCTACCCGTACCCGGCCGGGTACGGGTACCTGTTTGCGACCCTGGTGCGGCTGGGTACGGGAACGGGTAAGGAATCAAAACCCGTTTGCGACCTCTGGTTCTTTCTGTCGCCTCCTGGTTCAACTCTGCTTCCCGTTTGAACCTTTTATCCCATCCCTTCAAACTTTTCCTCCCGACCAATCATCCTGGAGGCCCCTCTACACCATTAGGATGCTTCGGTCGACTGCCTGGAAGTCCGTTTGGCTGCTGCACCTTTGCTTGGGGTGAGCGTTTTCTAATTTCGGCCATTACATTTGGATCCAAGCTTATGGAGGAATGCCCAGGCTCGCAATTGGAATGAGTGGAGTCATGTACATTTCTTAGCCATCCTGTGCATTATTCTAGTCTGTGTTCTGTAACCAAGTGGAGGCCCGATCGTATTATTTCATGCAACATTAATATGGGAACCTAAAATAACGTACAAACTTTTCTTACCTTTTCACAACTGTCTTGTAGACGATTGTTGCGCTGTATGCTCAAGCTGCATAGATATAATCCGGAGCCTAATGAATGTGTAAAGTAGTAACTTGGCGGGAGACGACTTGACGGGTAGCACACTCTTTATTAACACCAACTTATATTACACGGGTGGCTAACTGCAGCCTAACCCACGATGTTCCCCTGGCTACTCCCTCACGGGCTCTTACGCCCCGTAGCTTCTCGGAACCCACCCGGCTGGGGTGTCCGTCTCGACTCTGGGTCCCACAGCCTCGTCCCACATGGACGTCAGACCACGGGTCCCACAGTCTCGCCTC